TGTAGGTGTAGTTGTGAAGACGGCATTTCTCTGGAGGACCCTCTGAACAATGCCAGCCAGCACAGCTTCCATCGTTGGGGATGAGACCGATGTTATACGGTACTCGACCCTGGCAAGCACGGTCCACGACGTCTCCTACAGTCACACCGGTTGGGTTTTCCAATGTGACGCAGAAATAATTGGACTGGAGAGGACCATGCAACTGCCTCGGACAGTTGTAGTATTCCACTCTGAGAAGCAAGCGCCGGATTGGGGGGTATGTGATGGGCACTTCCCGCCACTCCGCGCCATCCTCCTTCATATGCGGCTTGTTACAGTGCTTCAATAGCCAGTAGCTGATCTCCAGATGACCTGGACGCCGCAATCCCAGCCGTTGGCTCCTCCAATTGCCTCCATTTGTCAGCAAGGAAGGTAGCCGTTTAGGAGTGCGGAACCTTAGAAGCAGCGGATGTAGCTTCAAATCAGTCCACGGAGTACCTTGCAAAGATGCTCGCTCTTTGTTTGTAGAGTCTGGTAAGCCCTGAAAGATACTCATTTTAGCCACTGGCCCGCTTGTAGATGGTAGTATCTTTGCATTCCCAGTTTTCGGAAGGCGTGGCAGAAACATGCTCTGGCGGATATCATTCGTTTTACAGATGATATCATGCCACTCTATGTTTACCAAGGAGGAATGGAACAAGTCGTTGTATTCAAGACATCCGTCAGTAAATACCAGTACCTTCAACTCAACCGGAAGAGCTGTAAAATTGGTTTCGCACATGGTTGGCGTGTTGTGGGTAACCTTCGGCGGCGCAAGCATTAATATATGGACGCAGAGGGCTTTGCCGATTGTGAGCAAACTTGAACTGGAATCACAAGATCGCACCATTCGTAGCATGTTCCAGATGTTTCATACCGGACTTGCTAAAGTCTTGAGCAACATTATCTGGGTCTTATATCAGTGATTCTAATACCGTTATGAGGTTCGACGAGGACGACCGTCAGTCTTCACTTCCGTTGCTTAGCATCACCGTTTGCCGCCTTTGCGGTACTCTTGCCCTCAGACTTCTCCTTCTGCTTCTTCTCAGCCGCCCTCTTCTTTGCACTCTCTTTCTCAAGAATTTCGATCGTCTTCTCACTGCTCTCCCACAGCTTCTTCTGCAGCAGCTCGTCATCAATCTCCTTCCTTGTCCATATCTTTCTCCTGCATTCCTTCAGGAAGTACGCTCCTTCTCCGCGACCCCACTGTGCCTCCATGGCAGCGTAGAAGAAAGTTTGTGCACCCTGATCAGGGCTCTTCAGCACCAGCCACCACAGCGGCCATGTGATCAGGTATATCGCCAAACCCCAAAGCGAGCCGAAGGTGAGGTATCGCCGCATGCCAGGTGTTCGTGTCCAACCCGGATCGACCATGATTACGCGTGCGTTCATGGGCTGCTTGTCGGGGCGGACGTAGTTTGAGAGATGCTTCTGGAAAGCTACGGCGAAGGTCATGAGGGCGAGCTTGGAGGTTGCGTATACGGTGGAGGGGGTGAAGTCGAGTTGTCCAGGATCGCTCTTTCCGTCTTTATTTGCTTTTGTGTCGACACCTGGCAACTTTCCGCCCACGTATGCCGGGCATGTACCGAAGATGATTCGAACGTCTCGATCGGGAGGTTGAGCACGTAGTGCTGGGCTGAGTATGCTCAACAGGTGGAAGTTGGCCATGTAGTTCAGCCCCCAAGTAGACTCCAGCCCATCTTCAGTCTGCGTTGCCTTGCCTCCTGGTGGTGTCATCGTGTTCGCACAGAGGACGATTGTGTCGAGACGTCGTGGCGGTGCGTTGTCGACCCATTTCGTTGCAAACTGGCGTATGCTATACAGGTCCTCGAGGTCGACATGCTCGGCGGTGATAAGCTCGTTGCCTGTCTGGGTTCGGAGGTCTTCGATGTAGTCGACAAGGAAGGGGTCGACAAGGGGCTGTCGAACCAAGAGAACAATCTGAGCACCTCGAGTTGCCAGGCCTCTTACGACTTCAGCACCTATGCCAGCTGTCCCTCCCTATACATTGTCAGTAGAGTAGTTCAACGCATGCACATGACCCAAACTTACCGTCACCATAACCACCTTGGAATGCATATTCCTCTCCGATCCATTCGTGGCGCCACTGAAGAACCATTTCAACATGTACAAGACTGCACAAACAGAAGCGAACTTCAAAACGGCCCAGCCGTATGGAATAGAGTCGATGCCCTCGTCGAAGGCTGTGGCCAGGATGTTGACGGGCATCTTGGCTGTTGTTTGGGCCGGGAAGCGGGAAGGTTCAGGAACGCGGATCTATGGTGGCTCGCTAAGACGATCGGATCCACGTGGCGTCATAGCATGTGATTGCGCGTCGAAGATTGTCGCCTGGCTTCACCACCCACATTTCACTTTCACCTCGACTTTTCTTGCCCGGCGGTGTCGCTCCTTCCACCGCTGCAAAACCTTATTTCCACGACGTCTTGTCACCACCACGCGCACCACGCGCGATTCGCAACGAAACCGCCACGATGTCCGCTCCCACCACAACACCGACCGCAGACGAGTACGACGCCGACGAGCTTCTTGAAGAAGACCCCGACGTCTCCACCAAACCTTTCGTCGAACAGCGCGCTTTCGGACGTGGTCTGTGGAAGAACCCTATCAAATTCGTCTCCTCCGCCCCCGAAGTACAGCCAGCACCCACATCTACGAATGGCAAGACCATGGCCGAGAAGTACCTTGCGATAATGTTTCCGAATGGCCAGCCGCAGCCACAGCCCGAAGCATACCCTCGGTGCGGCATATGCGGCGAGCCCGTCAAAGAAACCGACCAGCGAATACATTACCTAAGCCCTGCACATCAGGCGGCACTACCGCGAGCGCCCATACCCTCCGCAATCGATCGAACGAGAATGGGACTGAAATACATGGAGAAGCATGGCTACGATGTCGATGCGCGACAAGGCCTGGGTACGAGTGGCCAGGGTATGCTCTTTCCACTGGTCCCCAAGGAGAAGCGGGACAAGCTGGGCTTGGGCATAGACAAGATAGACCACATCCAGAGGAAGTCGTTAGGTGGCGCAAGCCGTGCAGATGTCAGAGAGGGCAGGCTTGATGCCGGCAAAGTCAGGAAGCTTGCCCAGGTCCAAAAGAGGAAGGATGCGAAGTTGCAAAGGATGTTCTACGGCAACGACGAGGTTGAGAAGTACTTGGGACAGCTAGGTGGTTGAAAGAAGACTGACGAGTAACGATTCACGACAAAATATCTCGCCCAATCGTCCAGGTTGGCTGATAGCCAGGACGCATCGCGGCGCATGATCGCCATTCATCGGATACTCTTGCGTACTCCACATCGACGGTTTGGCACAACGACTGCCACGATCTACCAGATACGATTCACGAGCATACTGTTAATATTTCCTATAGATTTTCTTTTACAAGCGCATGGCGCTGGCGTTGGTTTGGTTCGCGTTCAAAGATACCCGTGGCTCGACAATTGAGCCCCTTTCAACAACATTTCTTTCAACTACGTCAAGTATGAATACATCGTATCCACCTCAACATCGACCATTCAACGTGAGTTCTGGGGTCATGTCAGACTTATCAGGCCTGCTCCCAACCTTGCAGGTTCTGTGGTTGCCCCACCATGACAGTCATCCGAAATCTCCGAAGTGGAATTTTCACCCCACCAAACTCCGTCTGCTCAATGCTAACACCATCAGCAAGGCTTGTAAGACTCGAGCGATCTAGAGGAGTGCTGTTGACGTTCTTCCTTGATAAGCCGTCAAGGTCAGCAAACCTCCATCGAAACAACCAAACATCGGTCGCTTAGCTCAGTTGGTTAGAGCGTGGTGCTAATAACGCCAAGGTCGCGAGTTCGACCCTCGTAGTGACCATTCTTTTTGCGTGCGTAGGCTCCTGTCGTCCGGGAAGGCTTGCCCGCGAAGTTGTAGCTTTTTGCTGGAGCGAATCGGCCCAAAATGCATATTTTTGGACTAGAAAACAGCCCACCTTCAAGTCTGTATGCATTCTTCAGTCGATACACAACGGAAAGCAACCTTACGATCTCTGTTTCGTTATCACTATTTTGTTTGGTTTCATTGGTAAGAGGCGCCTGATCTGGGTCCACAACTGCGGCAAACCTCGGGAGTCAGCGCACATCGCGGTAATTACCCACATTTCAAACAGCGATGTGTCACCCGATCAGCACACCGATTCGACACGGCCTATTAAATCTGCAACTAATGTTTCATTTATTTCACGCTCCACACGCACTCCACCGCTCACTATGTCGACATTATTTATGATTTACTGGAAGAAATTGTCATCAATCAAACAGCACCTCTCCGGTGCAGCGGATTCGCAGCAGGTGGCATCCTATGTCACCATCTGAAGTTTGACCGCAAAAGCCTCCCTGGTGTAGTTGGTTATCACGTGGGTCTCATATACTCTATGACTGTTCGACAGAGCAGATATCCCGAGGTCAGCAGTTCGATCCTGCTGGGGGGCATTTCTTTTTGCCAACTGCGGCGTCAGCAAGCTGCATAGTGCTGCTGATGTCGCTGGGGTTGAGCTTCTAGAATCCTTTTATTTTTAGTTTTGACTACGTCAATTCTGTGAGATGGAAATTGCAGATGATGTTGCATTTTTTTTAGCTCTCTAAATGCTCCGCGCACTCTCCTTCTTGACGAATAGGCTAAGGTGTTACTTACACGTAACTTGTAGAGACTTTTAAAATAGTAGTGATTTGCTAGCTGCAACAAAGTACAATTTTAGCGGACTACCGGACTCAGCTTCTTACTTTGCCCACACTATGCGACATGGTAGCAAGGTAGATGGGTTACTTAGTTTCATGAGCGCAGCAGTAGCATACGTCAACAGGGCGGCAAGCACGCCAACAGTTACACGCAGAAGACATAGGTTATGCAAGTCCTTATTCACATTTCCTCATCAACTAAGCGCGCGAACACTAGGCATCTCTCGCGATAATCGTACGTCGCTGACATCCACTCAGATACCTAGAAGACCAGTTCACCATTGACTACCTTCTTGATCGTATCCTCGACAACATCCACCGCGTTATACCTCTCGTATTCCTTCTTGATGGTATCGAGCCTCTGCCTATTTCTCGTCAGCTCCGTGTCCGTCACTCAGTGCCACAACACTGATAGGTAAGAGACAACGTACTTGTATGTGGCGTTGCCCGTAATCTTGTCGAAAGTCTCCGTCAGCAGTCCCGGCGTTACTTGCGGTAAAGCATGGTAGATACCAAAGCCTCTGTAGTTGATCAGAGTGCCTGTATGCAGTTTATCTTGTCCGTTACCCGAGACGATCATAGGTACACCTGCGCGGAGCGACTGTTGGATGGTGCCGTATCCGCCGTTCGTGACTAGGACGTCAACCTGCTTCGGTGTCAGCAAACACATACGCACCTGCAACACTGGGTATACGTACGTCCGGCAGCGCCAAATCCAACGGAATAAACTTCGCTACCCTCGCATTCGCCGGTATGGCGAGATCCAACATCTCCACATCAGACGTAACCAACGTGGCCACAACAAAAACGTCTTCCCTCCCTCCAAACGCTTCCAACGCCGGTTTGATAAGGGCATTAGTATCATATACCACACTACTAGAAGACACAGCCACAACCGTCTTCCCCGCAGCCTTCGCTTCAAGCACATCGCCCCACCACTCAGGCAGACTATGTTCAGCAATACCCACCGCAACAGGCGCGCCCATAAACCTGAGATGCGGACGCCAATCGCTACGTTCCCATTCGAAAGCCGGGATCCCGTATTGCAGATACACATCTGAAGCGCGCATCATCATATCGTACAAACTCGGCGTCGGTGTCGTAGCGCCCATTTCCAGCAGCAGAGCATCGACAGCCGCGTTAACAGGCGTGTCAATCGGATGTTCCCTGCGATGCGCTTGCTGGGCTTCAAAATGCACCTTCTGGCTCTCAGGACTGGTGTCTGGGTATTTCCCCGAGCGGAAGGGGAAGGTGTCGTTGCTGGCTGCTGCATACGGAGCTAGACCTATAGCGATGGAAGCATCAGGCCGGATACCAGGTGCGCCATGTATAACGGGTGCAAGGCCGCCGTATGTACAATCGAAGAGGAATACCATCTTCTCCTCCTCTCCATACTGTTCTCGAAATTCCCGGAACGTACGTTGCAGCGTGCGGTATTGCGCCGGAATCGTCTTGATAAAGATATTTTTAAAAGCAAAAACCTCCTGTTCATCACCCTGCAGACTAATAAACTGGCCTAGGTCTTCTCCAGACATGATTTGCGGGCCTTGGCCTTCGATCCCGATGTACGTTGCGCCGATTGATTCGATGTAGTCCTGGAATTCGGGGCCGGAGATGAAGTGTACGGGGTAGCCGCGGGAGATGAGGCCTTGGGTTATTGTGGTGATTTTTTCCATGTGGCTGAAGGCCGGGGTTGCGGCCATGATGATGGGGGGTTTGGTGGGTAAGGGCTGCTGGCTGAGGATTTGGGTGGCATGGTTGAAGAGGGTGGTGAGGTTGCCTAGTTGGAAGTAGAGGATTGCGAAGAGTAGGGGTGCCAGGCCTGCGAGGTAGAGGGATCTCTGCGCCATGGTGTTTCTATTGGGAGCTCGATCTCAACTTCTTCGAACACAGAGAAGTCGGTATGACGATTGAGGTATTTCTCCGTGCTTTTGTATGTCTCCATCACCCCTCTTCTGTAACTTACGCCCAGGAGATAGCACGCCGCGCTGGCACTTAGGCCTCCCACAACATACTTGGCTTACTCCCGTTTCCCCTTCAGCGGGAACGAATTCAAGCCATAGGGAGGAACTACTGCATCTCTGGGTCAAGCCACGCTCCTTGTGTAAGTGCAAACTTGCCGTCGCGTCCTTCAAAGCCAATGAGTATACACGGAAAGAGATCATCATCGGTGGCCGTATCAGTACTCGTGGTAGTGCTTACATCGCTTGTTGCACGGCGCGTATACTCGTTTGCCTATCTGGGTGTAAGGCTAGGATGAGTCGCGATAGCCGCTGAAAATAGTTCGTGTGTACTCAGCATGGTGCGTAAAGTGTCTGAGTGGCTTACAAGCCTCCAACGCGTCCTCGACTGCGGCATGTCTATGCATAGTGACGTCACCGTCTCTCTGCATTCCAAAGTCACCTCCACAATGAATTATATTGTTAGACCGAATCTGAGCATGGAAGTTTGTATCTGTGTAGTTTTGAACTTATTTGAATTTGAAACGCTATGCAAATCCCACCCATCTACAAACTCGCCCTCTCGCCCCCAAGCTTCTTCCCTGTGACCGTCGAGAACCACGCATCCAACGCTTCACACGTGCCCTTGCCTTCCGCCAGCTTGACAACGATACCAACATAGCCGTCGGGCCGTACAACGACAACACCACCTGTCTCCTCATCAAGACCCATCTTAGCATGTGCCGCAGCCTTTGCATCAGGAACCCTCTGATCCCAGACATCATCGGCGTAAACGTGATCGGCGTAGCGGCTGAAAGGCTGGGGTAGTTGTTCATCAATGTGAATACTTGAGCGAGGTGCTGAGAAAACGAGTGCAAGAGAGAGGAAATCGGTGTGCGGGTTGTGGCGTTCGTGGTACCGGTCTTTCTCCTTGATATCGCGGTGGAGGAACGTGCTGAAGAAGGATGTAGGAGACGACATCTGCGTCGCCAGGTCACTAAGTGCTGTTGCGCTCTTATCCAAGCTACCGCCAAAGATGAACATGCGGTAGGAGCCGTTCATGGGGATTTCTTGTTCGAGATGTACGACGTTGGCGTCTACGACTCGTGTGACGGTTGCGGGGGTCATGATTCTTCCTGTCCGTTGGCTTGTACCGTTTTGGTAGGAGAGGATGAGGGGGTGCTGGGCGGAGTGTTCAGGGCCCCAGTTTATCATGTTGGGTTTGTAGGCTACGCCGTATCCGCTGGTGAACTCGCAGCTGGCTTTGAATGTCTTGATGAACTCGTTGTCTTCCGGGGCTTCTTTTGCGGATGCGCCGGCGACTTCGCCGGCTGATGGTATCCGCGCGGAGAAGAGCTTTGCGTAGCGGGCGTCGAAGTCGAGGAGCGTTTCGGCGATGAGTTTACGTTCGGACTCGTATGTCGAGAGGAGGGATCGGGGTGCCCAGCCGCTCTCCACGTGATGGATCTTCCATGCAATGTTTACTGCGTCCAAGAACGCTGTGTTCATGCCCTGGCCAGCCTTGGGGCTATGTGTGTGGCATGCATCACCACCCATGAAGACGCGCTCGTCTAGTGTGTAGCGTTCCGCGATACCTTGGCCGATAGGGTAGACTGAGTACCATTCTACGCGGTCCCAAGAGATGGTGTACGGTTCGAAGATCTTTTTCGCACGCGCCTGAACATCCTCCGCAGTGGCGGATTTCCGCGGGTCCCAGTCTTTGTCTGTCGATGATGCGACTTGAATGTACAAGCGGACCATGTTGTTTTCGCGTGGGATGATCATAATGGAGCCGTTATCGGAGTGGATTGTGCATTTCATCTATGTCACTGTTAGTACCCACAGGAGCAAAGAACATAGGAGATACATACCTTGATGTCGGGGAAGTTCGTCCGGACAACTCCATCCATGACACCCCAAACATGCGCAATAGGATCCTTATAGATCATCTTAACACCCAGCTGGTCCCGCACAAAACTCCTCGCTCCCTCTCCACTGAACAAATACTTTGCGCGTACAGTCTCCTCGTGGGTGCCATCGACATGCGCCAGGTTGACCTCAACAGGGTAAGTCTGATCCTTGCCATCGTTCTTGAAGCCCTTGATCGTCCAGGGTCTTTGGATCTGACCACCATTCTTCTCAATATCCCCAATAAATGTCCTCTCGATCATACCCTGGTGGAGAAGCGTAGTAAACGGATACCGCGCATCGATGAACTTGGGACAACTAGCCCAAGTCCCCGTCCTGTGAATGCCCTTTTGCGCCGGATCCCAGAAAGCCACCTCATAAACCTTTGCGGGTTCGTATTCCATGATCTTTCGCTTGAGGCCCATGTTGCGTAGAAGATCGAGAGAACGCGGCTGGATTCCGTCTGCGCGTCCAGTGGCGGTCGGCTCCGGTCGATTGTCGATGTGCTTGATCTTGTAGCCCCATCTCGCAAGACATGTTGACAGACAGAGACCAACGGGTCCCGCGCCAACGATAACGATATCGTAGTTTTCCACCGCCATTGCTATTCTTTCAAATAAGATCCAAAGAAGAGGCTCTCAGGTAGTCACAAACGCGTCGGGAACGATCCGGGAATACGGATGATGCCCCACACTCAATGATCAATGTCAAGGAATCTCTTCGCTCTCAGCTACACCGAAATGCTCAATGCAGGCGACAGGGCGTAAAGAAAGAGGCGTAAAGTATGTAAAAAAGGGTATAAAGTATATTAACTCGAACAGTAACCGACGATCCCAGTGACCGGCACCTGCTCTTTAAGAATCAGTTAACGACGCCATCAAACCACGGACCAAGGCTAGCCTCGGCCGCGTCTTCGTCATGGCAAGACAACTCGGGAGTGCGTAGTGCGCGCCGGCACACGACTTCGGATGCGCGTGAGAGGAACCAGGGCCTGGGGACCTGGGTACGTGGGTCGCCGCGTGCGCCGAATGGGCATGCCGTCATGTTGCGGGGAGTCTGACTAGGCGTTGGCGGAACTGATGCGCGGCATTTTGAGCGCCAAGACGTATCTCACACTTTGCCTTTTGGAGGGCTAGTGTGGTTGGATGCAGGTTAGGTGACGCGCAGCCGCGATCTGGGCGAGGCAGGCGAGCGTGGCATGGAGTATCGTGAAGTGGAGTGTTTCGGCCGCTTACATTTACCGCTTCTTCTTCCCTTGATGTTCGGTGTGTGAGTAGGATTCTTTTTTTGCTGTTTGACTTCGTACGAGGGTGCGTGTACTGCCAATGAGAGTGGTGGTAATAGGGCCGAAGCTTGTCGTTGAGATGATGATAAGGCTGCACGTGTAAGTAAGACTACGCTTGCGAGTACCGAGTATGCTTCCCGTGGAGTTTCCATCGAGGATGTTGCCGCAGAATGTCATAGCTCCAGTAGGAGCTTTGCTGCTAGTGAATGAACACGATCTAAATTTCGCCGTGACGGTCTCGAATTCCTCCGTTTTGATTCTGAAATGTACCGTGCAGATGATAAAATTGGCCGTGGTGATAGGTATCATGATTTACGAATTGTTCTGAATGTAAGGAAAGCTCACATCATGTAGATCATCATAATCCTTGCGACACAAGGCATCTTACAACAGCTTGTTTCGATATCAGCATCCATGCTGGACCTCATTGACGTCCATCTCACTTTCAATCAGACGGACCCATTGAGTGCCACGATAATGCGAGTCCGTAGAGCAACTTGCCCCGGTGAATGTACTTCTGTATTCGTACAATCATGTATAATACCAATAATATATACCAGAACCCAGACGCCAGCGCCGTTCACACAAAGCCGACTAAGCTTTGCGTATAATGTTCGGGACATGCCGCATGAACGCTGAAGCCCAGACACGGCCAAACATGCTGATGATGCAAAAAAAGACTGCATCAAGTCAATCTGTCGCCTCCACATACTTCCATCGAAGCCAGGTCCCGGTAATGCCCCGCAAGCTTTTGCAGCATTGTGTGGCAACCGGCGAGGTTTTCCCGCTTCATCTCCCCCTGTGGTGTTCGATCCAAAGTAGATGGATATCCTCAAGATACTGTCATGTTGCCGAGTGCGACTGCCATTCTCTCCTCTTCCTTTCGGGCTCTCGCTGCCTCGGTTTCCTTCCTCATGGTCTCCAAGTTCCACTCATCGCCGCCCTCATCATCACTATCCGCATCGCTGTCTTGTGCCCAGTCACCCTTCTCGAACATAGCCCTACCAGTGGCATCCTTCATCTTCTTGGCCTCCTCCTCAGCCTGCTTCTTGTCGATACGCTCCTTCTTCCATTTGGCGAATGTTTCGGGCGTGACAGGTGTGAGCTTGCCGGTGAGCTTGTGTCGTTCAGATTCAAGGAAGTCTTCGAGGGTGAGGGTGTTGAGTGGTGAGTTGGCCATTAGGGCCTTTTCGGCGGCGCGTTGTTCCCTAGTCTTGATGACGAATCTGAAGAACATGTTAGTTTCGGTTCCCAGATGTGTTCGTTCTGTATGGCGATAATGAATTGAAAATACGTACCCAGGTGGTAGAGAGTGCTTGTACATGCACTTGTCGCCTTAGATACAGGTCAGCGCGCGCCTCACATGCATTTCGTTGTCGAAACTCACCTCCGTTCGGGCATGTCCAGAACCAACCATACTTCTGGTCCTCGATAGCCTGAACAAAGTACTTGCACACTTTGTCTGTTGTGGTCTTTGGGTTACCGTGCTTGCTGAGAACGACCTGTCGCAGCTTTTCCTCGTCCCAATCATCCATATTATCTTTCTTCCGTCGCTCCTCTTCCTCTTCCTTTTCTTGGTCTCTGTTATCGGTGTATAAACTCCTCTTCTCTGTTTTGCGCTCAATGGCCAGGTCATGGCTGAACTTGCACTTCTTGCCCTTTTCGCAGTTTCCCTTCTTGTAGAACTGGCATAGTACGGTCTTGGGGTCGGTGCCAA